TGGCTTCTAACTTGATTGAATATTGCCGCTTATGTGGGTATCTTGTATTTTCCTTAAGTTTAATCCTCACTGGAGACGCCCTTAAGGCTCTTCCAGGCATTCCTTTGTCCCACACCTCTGGGTTTGCAGCACTCCTGACTTCAAGGGGGATATCTGGGAGATCTGTATCAGAAGTATGCAACAAAATCGCTATGAAGATTCTTTCCTTGGAGGGAAAGAGTTGGAGGGTGCTTCCTAAAATGTGCATTATATCTCTCCCTAATAGAGGGGTTGGGCACTCTGGGACCAGTAGGAAGGCATGTGTGAAAACAATATAGCTGCAGCTCAATGGTTGAGTAAATGTCCTTCTCACGGGGACGCCCCCTACCCCTATTATCATACATGAGTTGGCTGAGAGTGATCCTGGAGATCGGTTAAGGACAGAGTAGGTGGCTCCTGTATCGACCAAAAAGTCGACATCCCTACCTGCTACGTCAAAGGTAACCCGAGGCTCAACCCTTGTTATCATCAAGTTGGAATCAGGAGCCGGCGATGACCTCGGGCCTCTTCAGTTTTGTTGTACAAGGGCCTCTGGAGCAGGGACCGGCCACTACCCTCTCTGGGGCTGAGGACAATCCCTTCTCCAATGGCCTTCCTGTCCGCAGTTGGGGCAAAGCCCCGGCGGAGGTCCTAGGTCTGGACACTGCCACCGTAGATGTCCTGGTTTTCCGCAGCTGAAGCATCTCCTTTCGGACGGGTCCCTCCGGAATCTTCCAGTTGAGGGCCCACCCCCAGGGTTACCTTGAGGTCTCAGGATTCTATTGGCAGCAAAGGCTACCAGCCGAGCCTGTCCCTGTCGTTTAAACCGACCTCTCTGGACTCTCTCAGCTTCCTCTGCCTGGTCTCGATTGTTATAGACACTGAAGGCAATGTGAAGGAGCTGGCTTAGGGGGGTCTCAGGTCCCATAGCTGCCTTTTTAAGCTTCCTCCTTATGTCAGAAGTGCACTGGTTTATAAAATAAGAGGCTATCAGTACTCTCCCTGACTCGTATTGAGGATCTACGTTCGTATATTTCCTCATTGTCTCTATCAGCCTTCCCTGGAATTGATAAGGATTTTCATCTTTCCCCTGCGTAACTTCCTTCATCTTGTCATAGTTTACGGCTTTATCAACACACCTCTTCATCCCTGTTGTTAAGCAATTAAGCATGTGGTCTCGCCTTTTTCTGCCTCCCTTAGTTTGGTAATCCCATTCTGGATCAATTGTGGGGACTGCAGTATAACCCACAGGGTAATCAGGGTCAGTGGCCCGAAGCTCATCTGCATAGGCTTGTGCAGCTCTTATAACCTGTTCCTTTTCATCTATGGTGCAGCAATTTGACATAATTACTTGGATGTCCTCCCAGGTCAGCTCAAAACAGTGAGTTATAGCCTGAAATTCCTCTGTGAACTTGGAAGGGTCTTCCCAAAATTTCCCCAACTGCTGTTTGCATCGGTGAAGGTCACTCATCGAGAAGGGCACATGGACCTTCACTATGCCTGCCTCCCCATTTGGCACTTCCCTTAGGGGAAACACTTGTGCAAGAGTATCAGGCTCGGGGTCAGGTTTGGGATGATACCGGTCCCGTTCCGGGGTGTGCCCAGGTGAACTGGCTTCTGATGGAGGCGGACACACCCTGGCTGCCTGTGCTGCTTTGCGATCGGAGGGGGCTTCCCCGCTAGCTCCCTTTTCAGCGCATTTCTCCATTCCCCCGGGGTTAATTTGCCCTTGGGCTGCCGGACCCAGTCGTCCTGGATTAGGTCCCCACTTTGGTGACTTCGGTGGGACAGGGGGCCTGTCACCAGCTGTCATCAGCTGTTACCAAGTCCTCAGAATCTCTGCCTGTTTGGTGGGTGGAGCCAAAAGCATAGGCGGAGAGAGGGTGGAAAACGGAGGTGGAGACCGGTCTTCCAACGGAGCCGAAGCCTTTGAGGCTCCAGTATGCGCAGTTCGTTGGGAATTCAACATCAGGATTTCATCTATGGGGTCTGGCTCTAGTTCCTCTACTTCTGGTGTGTGTGCATAGCAGATGCGACAACCTTTCCTTTTCTCCAAGTGCAGATACAATGCCATGAAGGCCCAGATGTAAGGAACTTCATCTTGTTTCTTTTCCTTTTTGCAGAAACGATCTAACTGCAAGATGGTCTGATATTGCAAACTGCCATTCACTGGCCATCTTTCCCCAAGTTCTAGCTTATACTCAGGCCACGTGGTGTTACAGAGGTCAACAAGGCATTTCTTATTTAAGCTATCTAGCTTCAGGCTCTTCCGGTGTTTTAACAAGCAACCCAAAGGGGAATGTTTAGGTACTGATGTAGAATTTCCCATATCTCCTAAGTGTCAGCAATAACCTATGAGAGGGAGGAAAAAGAAAAATCTAGGGTAGAATAATTCCTTAGCAAGCTCTCCTCCTAATAGTTTCTAGTGTTGTGGTTCTAGAGACTGTGCGGACATGACCACAACTGCATGCCGGCCCGTGGTGTTGTGGTTCTAGAGAGAGGGCGCGGACAGGACCACAACTGCATGCCGGCCCATCAGAAAAATCTCTCTTTAAAGGACGTCTCCTTTAGAGATTTCTGAGTTACCCCAGGCGTCCCTTGGGGCCTGCCTCCCGAGCGTCCACACGACCATGGCTTACACGTGTGGAGCCATACCTAGAGTGCCATGGGTTTCCAAGAAGCCTATTAAGGGGAGAAGAGAAAAGTTCTGCTTCTCTTAGCTTGCCACATATTCCAATGCTCCCTGCTGACGCTTTCTTCCACAAACTTCTTGCCTGTCTTTTACCTCTTTTTGCCTAGGGCTAAACCTGCTGACTACCTCCATTAGCGTTTGAATTGACCTCTAGCCGATTCTGCTTGGGGAAAGGGATTTCTACCTAGAAATTGATCTGCCTTAGTTTTCCCAGGATCTTCTCACTAGTGGGCTTTCCTCCCATTCCTCCCATAGTGGACGGTGACGCGAGATAGACAAGGGAGGGGTGCCTCTTTGCAGAGACCATTCAGATGCTTGCCTGGCCGGTGGACGACTTAGCCTTAGTGGTTCAGCGTTGTGACTTGCGACTGGCGCCTATGCCAGTGCCACCATTGACCGTATGTCCTCCGTGGAATCGCAGGCAGCCCACTCGAGCTCTGTGACTTTAGAGGGACTTTAAGAGTGCCAGGTCGTGGAGCTACGAAATCACGCCCGATAGGAGGACCTATCAGGGTGCTCATACACACACACATTCACACAGAGGTTATCACATTCCTCCCCCTTTCCCCCCAGAGATTTCCAAGGGAGCATACCTCCACAGCAGATTTTCCACAGATTACCTCCTTCCTTGTGGATTTCTTCACTGCAGGTCCCTTCGTGGTCGCCACGTGATGTCGGTGGGCCCCATGGGTGACTTTTGTGAAGTGGGGAGGAGAAAGACAGCCACTTTCTCCTCACCCGCCTCTGTCACCCGGAACCCTGGGTAGGCTAGGACCAGTAAAGTCTGCAGTGAGCACCTGCTCGGCACGGGCCTAAGCCCCGCCAGCCCCACAAGGTGGCCGTCAAGCCACACCTGAAGTCCGCTTGATCTTCTCGGCATGGGAGTTAATCCCCGCCACCCGATTGCTCGGGGAGCCACAGACTCAAGCTGGGGCGAGAATTTGCTCTTTGCAGGAAAGGAGAGACCAGTCCCAAGCCTTACCCGAGGTTTCTGGGGTTCTTGTCTCGCTCACAGAAAAGAATTTCAGGAGTAGACGAGCAGTGAAGTAACAGGTTTTATTTGGAGGCTCTTGGAGAGGGAGAGGAAGGGATAAGCAGATAAGCGGGGGAATGGAGAGTAAGAGAGAGAGAGTAACGCGTCCAGAGGGAACGCGGGCTTCTCCGAGGGTGGAGAGAGCCCCAACTGGGCTCTTGAGCTGGCTCTCATAGATCCTTCCGACTCAGAATGTTCTGGAATCTCCTTGGGGCTGGGTCACTGGAGTCAACCGGATAGAAAGCGGGTTCGAGAGTCATCTGACTTGGAATGTCCTGGGATCTCTTTGGGGCTGGGTCGCTGGAGTCAACCGGATAGAAAACTGGTTTCGGAAAGGAGGAATTTCATGGGGAGGAGGCCCATATTTTCAGGGTCTGGGGATGGTCTTATCAAGTCTTTATTCTCTGTGTCCACAGAGTGGGTCGGTCCTAGAATTCTTCTATGAGATTTTGTTTCATTGCAGAGAGCCTTTCCCTATCTACCTGCCTACATCAAACACTTTTAGAAAAAAATTCAGTTTTTGGTCAACACATATAGAAAAACATTCAGCAACTGTAGATTGTTGGGATCGGGAGTTCCCTAGCCCTGGGAGGCGCGGAGAGACCAGATAGACACAATTCCTGCAGGAGTAAAAATGGGGTTTATTTACACCAGCATGCTGGGGCTCCGCAGCATACCCCAAAAATGGGCAGTGGCTGAGAGCCCCGAACTTCTTCGAAGGGGATCTTATATAGGCCTTCACTGGCCGTTACAGCAGAGCCCGCACATTTCATAGCCAATAGATTTGTAACAACATATACTTTCTTAACCAATCCATTTAAAAGTACCTCACTCCTTAGCCTATAGATTCAAAGATCAGCATTTATGTACATTGATTGTCAGCACAAGCAAGGTTATAGCCGGAATCATTAAGCCTTAAGTAATCTCCCTTGACCATCCTCGTTTTGAGTTACCCAAGTCTGCAGGGTGCTTTAGTGAGACAATACACTCCAAGAAAGGGCAATTTCCCCCAAACACCGCATCCTGAGTTATCCTTTACCCAAGTCTGCAGGGTGCTTTACTGAGACAATACATTTCAGGAACAGTAAATACACCTGAATCCTGTCACATTTGGTTTAGAAAGAAGTTATGCCCTGTTCACTTTCCAAGTCCCATCTCCCCCAGGTGCAAAGCAGCCAAGCAGCTTTACAGAAAGCAATGTTGCAAGTTAGCTGAAATACACAAAAATTTGATGCCCTAATATGGATTCTTTCAAGATAACAAGCACAATACAGCTTTTCTGCTCATGAGTTTCAAATAATTTTACAAGTGGAGACATTTGTTTTACTACAAATCCATTTTTTGTCTGAGTAAATTCTTCCACTGCTCACGCCTTTGTCATTCAAGTAGGCACATTCCCCAGTTCCTCTGACCTGAAACCTAAAACAAAACAAAACAATAATTATTCATATGCTGAACAGCTTGCATTCATTCCTCCAATGTGATTCGTAATAGGTCTACTCCAACTTTTTTCAATAGAAGTAAAAAAAAAACTTGTATGTAATGTATGTAACTTCTTAGTAATAAACACTGTTTTTATACATAGTTCTATTTACATTTTCAAGACAATGCTTGAACACCACCAATTGTATGATTAATCCAATCCAAATCTAGTTATATTGTTGATCTAGTCACTTTGTGTATTTTATCTTAAGTTGTATCATTGAAAATCATTCTTAGTCCTCTCACTAACTGCTTTGTAAATGCATAAAATAAAATAAACTCCCCGTGGCATATTGGATATGCCAAAAACAGTAACAACATGTCTCACAATGGAGATGTTACTGGTGCCCCTCGAGCAAATCGATGAACAACGGGAGGACAGTGACAGTGACTTATTAGCAATTTGCTAAAGAGCTTTATTTTGATGAAAGTGACCGGACCCTTATATTTGATACACTTCCAATGACCTCATTGAACTGTTCACAACACATGGAGCTACAGTTTCTGCTGGTACATTCTCAGAGAGATTTCCATAGCTTCTCTTTGAAACATTATTCCTTACTTTTGTGAGTGGATGCAGCAGCTCGAAAATGGATTTTTGAAGGTTTTATGGGAATCAAATCATCAGTGACTTTCTAGGATTTTAGAACACTCCCTCCCACCCCTTTCCCACTGCATACTAGCAGTTCTTTCCACCTTCTAAATCAATATTTCATCAGAAAAAAATATGAATTGGGATATTAAAGTACAAGAACTATACATATGTCATCATCATATTAAATATTTCAACTAAAATCACAATGAATCGAGTTTTCAAGTAATTGGCTAGTAAATGGAAAGGCATAGAAAGAATTTCTATTTCTTATACAATACTATAGGTTTTCTATATTAAAGTAATTGTCTTATAAACACCCTAAGTCACCATAGCAAAAGGATAATAAGTGGCAATACATACACAATGTTGCCTCCAGCATTATTTGTCCATTTCCAAGAGTGACTTGGCGATTCCCTGCTAAGGCCTATCCAATGATCATGAGGACCTTTGTATCTTCTCAGAACTTCCTATTATAAACATAAAAAGTGAAAATATGCATCTTTCTCGCTTATCACTCTGAGTCTACCTTTCCCACAGTCTTCTATTCAGGATCACAGCATAGTATAAATGAAAAAGTTATTCTCTATTCCATTTCTCAGTTTGAGTCATTATTCTATGTCGCTGCTCCTGAATCACTTTTTTTTAAAAGAATCATATCTCCCCATGTGACTGGCAAAGTCTCAAATTATGCTTACTGTTTTAGTTTATTGTGAACACTGTCATTCCCACAATTTGAATGAAAAATTATGTGAATACAATAATTATCTCCACACAGGGAACAGTACTTCACTTAGGTGCTTCTAGGTCAACTGTGAGGATTACATCACTTAACTTAATCACTTAACTTCCCGTTAGTCGTCGATTTGCTCGAGCAGGCGCCAGTAACGTCTCCATTTGTCCCTGTCGCATGCTAGTGTAGCCCAATGGCATCTGTTCGCTCCGGGAACATGAAGGGCCTCAAACCGATCGTTCATGATCTTCAGGAAGAAGTCTGACCATCTGGTAGGTGGGCGGCCACGCGGTCTCTTGACATCCCGTGGAATCCAATCAGTAACAGCTCTAGTCCAACGGTCGTCTTTAAATCTCATTACGTGACAAGCCCATCTGATTTTCGACACCTTGGCATATGAGACAGCGTCCCTGATCGTTGATCGTCGACGGATGTCAGAACTCCGGATTCGTTCTCTCATTTGAGTGAAACGTGATATTCCAAGCATAGCTCTTTCTATTCTTCTTTGGGAGACCTGAATAGCGTTCTCATCTTGTTTGCGTAGGGCCCAGGTCTCTGAGGCATATGTTAATGCAGGAAGAACAGTGGAATCAAAGAGATGTGCCCGGACCCGGAGGTTCTTCGTCCTCTTAGCTATTTCTTCGACGTTTTTGAAGGCGTTCCACGCCGCTCTCTTCCTCCTGCGCAGCTCGGGTCCCAGGTCATTTGTCATGTTGACCTCTCGACCTAGGTACACATAGCTGTTGCATTCGGAGATGGTCGTTCCATTGAGAGCGAATGGGGCGTCAGGAACAAGGCTGTTTCTCATAAACATTGTCTTCGTAAGATTCAGCTGTAGTCCTACCTTTCCACACTCACGGTCAAAGTCGGCCAGCATTTGTGCCGCTTGGCTGATGTTTGGTGTTATTAAAACAATGTCATCAGCAAAGCGGAGGTGGTGTAGTTGCCAACCATCTATCTTCACTCCCATTCCTTCCCATTTCAGTTGTCGCATGATGTTCTCGAGGGTGGCACTGAAGAGTTTCGGTGAAATGGTATCACCCTGCCGAACCCCTCTCTTGACATCAACGATCACTTCTCTGTAGAATGGTGAGATCCTGGTAGTGAATCTGCAATACAGCTCACGGAGGATCCTGATGTATTGGGCTTGAATGCCCTGATTGGCTAGGGCTTCAATGACCGCTTCCGTCTCAACAGAATCAAAGGCCTTCTTTAAATCAATGAACGTTAAGCAGAGTGGCATCTTGAACTCCCGAGAAACCTCAATGAGCTTGGTTATCGTGTGGATATGGTCGATGGTGCTGAATCCTTTGCGGAACCCGGCTTGCTCGTATGGTTGTCCTTCATCTAGTGTTCTGCCAATCCTATTTAGGATGACTCGAGTGAACAACTTGTAGATGACAGACAATAGGCAGATCGGGCGATAGTTGCCAATGTCATGGATGTCTCCCTTCTTGAACAGTAGTACAGTCCTGCTGGTTTTCCATTGGGACGGAAACTTGCATTCAGACAGGTAGCATGTGAAGAGCCGAGCCAGTGTATTGATGAGTACTGACAGCAGGTTCTTCAGGTGTTCAGGTCTGACCTTGTCTGGGCCGGGTGCTGTTTGTTTCTTTACCGACGAAATGGCATGTCGGATTTCGGAGAACGTTGGCAATGACATATCCATCCTGTGGAATTTGCTATGTCGGCAAGTGGACATGGCTATAGAAGAGATTTGAGTAGAAGTCATGGATAATCTTCTCCATTGCCGTTCTGGAGGATGTGATGGATCCATCATGACGTCGAATGATCAAGTACGACATCATTGGTCTGACCGAGAAAAGAAGGCACGAATCTCACCATGCCGTTTTCAACACTGGAGAAGAATTGTTCCTCGGAACATGCGATAAAAGAGGCATTGGAGGCATCGGTGTCCTTGTCAACACAAACTTGGCCAAGAGCATTGATTCATTCGAATGCCTAACAACCCGAATTGGACGTTTACATTTGAATAGATGTGGCTCACTGCCTGCAGTTTCTATCTTCGTTTTCTATGCACCAACATCTCATTATGATGAAAGAGAAATCGAGAAGTTCTACATGGAGCTAGAGAAGTTATATAAAGAAGACCACACCTTCTACAAGATCATTGTGGGTGATTTTAATGCCAAGATAGGACCGAGAAGATCAGCTGAAGAACTTTACATCGGGACCCATGGCCTAGAATGGAATGAACAGGGTGAGAGACTGTCTGAGTTCATCATGTCAACCAAGACCATTCATGGTAACTCACAGTTCCAGAAGGCAGAATCTAAACGATGGACATGGGAGTCTCCCGGTGGACGATTCCACAACAAAATAGACCACATCATATTCAATCGACGGTTTTGCCTGACTGATGTCGCTGTTGTCCCAAAATTTCGAACGGGATCGGACCACCGTCTCCTTCGTGCAAAATTCTACTTCACAGAGCGGGGAGAAAGGGCTGCAAAGTTCAAAAAGAGAACTCCCAGAATGACCACCAACTGGAAACTCTTTGGTACTATTGCGGCAACATGGGAAGATGCCATTGTTGACAACATTGACGAGGAATACGATCGACTGGTTCAGCACCTCCATGTATGTGCGAGGAACGCCAAGAGAGAGATAGGCACAAAAAATCGCCTATCTTTGAAAACTCTTGAGCTAATTCGCCAGCGTGGTTTGGCGCATGCCTCAGGCAACCGCAAGCTAACGTCCGAGCTCGCAAAGCAGTGCAGAGATGCGATCAAGGAAGACCTCAAAGAGAGAAGAGCAGAAGTACTGGTAGATGCGGCAGAAGCCGGGAAAAGTATTCGTAATGCCCGCCTGTCCTTTGCCAACTATAAGACCAAGAGGATTACATGGGAAAACATATCTAACATGTCTTACTGGGTTCCAGGCAGAAAATTCAACACATGTCAGAAACTTGTCTGTGCCCCCCCGTGCTTCTAGACTGACTCCAGGACATCCTTATCTTTCAGCATTAGCCCTGCGTAGAGCCCAATCCACTTTGGGGGAGCTCCTTACTAAATAAAAAATATGCTCCCAAAATAGTTCTTCTTTTAAAAATATGGACCAGATGCTGGGCCATTGGGAGAAATTGGACTGGGCACCCCCTGCAAAGCTCAGCCCAGGGTGCACAGTCAGCCCCAGAGCAAGCAGGGCAATCATGGGCCCTGAGATGCTGGGCATGTGGTGCTGGCGGCTGAACTCAGGACCCTACATGTGACAGGCACGTGCTCTCACACTTGTACTGTCTCCCTGGGGCCTCAGAACAATTCTTACCAGTTCGTCTTTGGTGTCAATCTGAACAAGATTAGCTTCCAATAAGTCACAGAAAGTTTGGCTGAATGTCCAGTTTCCTGTTTCTTCAGAAAAATAAAAGCACTTTTTTCCAAATCCAATCCACATTGGTGGGCAGGTGAAATGCACATGCACTTCTGAGATTGTTTTTTCCTTTCTTACTAAAATTTGGATAATCACAACAAAATATAGTAATTATATTTCCTCATTATTTTAATATATTGTCCCATTTACCATCCTAAGGTTATTGCTAAAGCTATAGACTGGTAGTTGTTAATGTCCTAACTCATCAGAAAGTCTTATCCTAAGTACAATATTCAACCATTCCCTAGTAGTGAGTACCTGTGCATCTCATTTTACAAGTACATGGGCATTAATGGCTTAGGGAAAATAAATTTATAAAGCATCAAGTCCATGGTACTTTTTATAGATGATTCTAATTTCTGCAAAAAGCAAGTACAAGAGGTGCATATGCTGCCTGAGCCCATGTGCTGCTTGCGCCCACGTGGCCGAGCGCATGTGGTGCCCGAGCACTTGTGTCACCCGCATCTCCCCTCTTGAGATGTGTACTTTCATACTTTAGAGTCTAACTTTACTCTCTCTCTCTCTCTGTCTCTCTCTCTCTCTCTCTCCCACTCCGCACCTAAAAATCCTCCAAATAAAATCTATTTACTTAAAAAAAAAAGCAAGTACAAGATATTCCTAGTATATCATATAGATTCTCCTTTCCTATATTTTCCTTAATATAAGCTCCTCTTCCTCTTGACATCTTTTATATCCTGGATTTTACTATGGTTCATACTCAGTAACTATATAATCTTTCTGTGGACAAAATATAGCAACACAAATATTATACTGGTAACAAAAATACAGTATAGGGCTTTTGATATTTTTGTTTCATATATATTTCTTTTAAAAACAATAAAACATTGTTGGCTCTTCTTAAATATTCTGAAATAACCAATATTTTGGAGTAAGGTGTAGGAAGAATCAGATATTATTATTTCACATTTTCTCTGATTTTTTAAAATCTTCTTTAGTTATTAAGATTATATTGTTCTTTAAGGTTAGTGAAAGAAAAAATAGTATCAAAATACTGAACACTAATGAGACTTTAATTTCCTCACATTTAAAGAAAAACAATCTGTTACATTTTTCTCAATCCTTATCCCTAGGGAATTTAGGTTAGAGAACAGAGAGCACATGTGTGTTGAGGTCAGTATCACTGTTTCCTTTAAAAAAAAAAAGAATCAGGGAGCCCCGGAGCAATAGTATAGTGGGTTGGGTGTTGACCTTACATACACATATCAGGGCTTGATCTCTGGAACTTCATAAGGTCCACAAGCCCAATCAAGAGATATCCATGTGCAAAGAGCCAGGAGTAAGCCTTAGCCACAATCAGGTGTGAACACAGCCCCAAACAAAACATATCCCCTAAATTATTAGGGAGAACCACTTGATACTTTAAAATTATGCTGAATAATACACATTGATAAACCACTGCCCAAGGATTGGTTATTTTACGTATTACATAAAACTCAAGTAGAAATATAAAATTAAGGACATTTTGTGCTTGTGTTATCTAAAATGAACAGTGGTAGATATCAAGAGAATTCAGATTCTAGTAGATAATTTTAAAAATTAGATTTGCAATGTTCTAGGAACTATATAATTCGCAAAAATTTAATCTCCAGTAAAAATTGTTAGTTGTTATTAGATTTCAGAAATGCTTCAAGATGGGCTCAGTACATGCCTTGTCTATATGAGACCCTCAAATAATCCTCAGCATGTATCTCCCCTTCCTTTGCTCCTTACTCCAGCCAAAATAAAAAAAAATTGTCTCTGTCATATTAGGAGTTGTTGGAAAAAAGCCTTGATAGACGGACAATAATAAAATTAGAATAGATGAAATAATTATTTATTAATTCTGGTAGTTCATTTATTTCTGACCAATTCTACATACAAAGAAATATTTGTTAAAACATAGTTCTGTACTTTTGAACATTCTCTGTAAGAAACAAATCCAAAGATAAAACCCTTCATAAGACTTTCTCTTATCAAGAATGATAACTCATTTCTTGCCATGGCTCATCCTTAGAGTTTCATAGGAATCTCTTTTTTGCAAATCTTCATATACAAGAGTCTCCTGCCTCCGCGCCTGGCTGTCATCACCGGGGTCCCTTGGAGGAGGGTGGGTTGAGTTTCCCTCCCCACCCCGAGCAGAGCCCTGGCAGCTGAAGACCTCTGGTTCCAGCCACAGCCATGCTTAAGACCACTCTCCACATGTTAGGACGAGCCTCACGCATGAAGGAACCAGCAGAGGAACCCAGGTGGCAGGCCCCGGGGCATAGATCTCTAAACCTGCTCGGATTGGGACTGGGGCCTCCTGCACCCAGATCCCCCACCTTCTAGTATGTAGACGTTACAGGCACCAACTGCCCCTGGCCCCGTGTAATCCTATCAATGGCCAAGACTCAGAGACTATAAAACCCAGCTCCTGGAAGTGCACGGCTCCATTTGAGGCCACGCAACATCTTATTATCTACTTCTTACTCTGGAGAACCTGGCAGGCTACCAAAAGTTTTCTGCCCACACAGCAGAGTCTGGCAAACTCCCTGCGGCATATTCAGTATGTCAAAAACCAGTAACAATGAAGGGTCTCATTCTCCTGACCCTGAAATAGCCTCAAATGTGGACATTTTTTTTAAATCTCAGGGCTAGGATGTAGGAGACGTTACTGGCGCCAAGACCCAGAGACTATAAAACCCTGCTCCCAGAAGTGCTAGGCCACATTTGCAGCTGCGTGGCATTTTATTATCTACTTCTTACTCTGGAAAACCTGGCAGGCTACCAAAATTTTCCTGCCCACATGGCAGAGTCTGGCTAACTCCCCGTGGTGTATTCAATGGCGTATTCAATATGCCAAAAACCAGCAACAATGATGGGTTTCATTCTCTTGACCCTGAAATAGCCTCAAATGTGGCACTTTCTAAAATCCCAGGGCTAGGATGAAGGAGACGTTACTCGGGCCTGCTCGAGGCATTCGATGCACAACAGGATGACGGTGATACAGATGAAATTTGTTATAAAATACAGTGGATCCAACATTCAAAGTATCCAGAACCTGACCACCCTAATACACCCCCACTGCACTCATCAGATTTCAGCTATCACCATCTCTCAGCTAGATTTCTACAAGATCACCTGAGTAGGTCTCCTTGATTCTCCCCTTCTCTTCTAACAATCACCTCTTAGTAGCAAAGTAAAAATGATCATTCTCCAAAGTAAGTTTTAGAGCCATGACATTCCTTTACAACTCTCCTTTTCCTGACCTTCCTTTCTCTACTCAAAGTATAACCCAAAGTCTTTAAGTGACTCCCAAGGCTATTGCCTCCTGGACCCATCCCATGATTCTTCCTTTGTGTCACCTTGTTCTAGCCCCAGCAATCTCCTTGTTCTTATACAGAGCACTAGGGATATTCCTTCTTTGGATTTTGCTCTATTTTCTGTTCCTGAAGAGTTTTTCCCAAGTATCAACATGTTACTTTCATCTCTTTCAAAAGTTTGCAGAAAGAGAGAGATTCTCACTGAAGATTATGTGTCACTTCTATGTGCATTGCAGCTTGTTTTCCTACCCCCACCTTAATTTATTATGACAGTTGCATCTTCTTTCTGGAATATAAATTGGAAGAAGGAATTTTTATGTTTAATTTACCAATAAACCCCAGACACTTTGCACAGTGCCTGGAATAAAATAGGACTCAAGGGAATATTTATGACCATATTGATGTATGGAGGATGTTACAGAGTTTTCAAAACAAGTAACTTACCTGTCAAAGTAACAGAAAGTGTAACTATAGATATAACCATGATCAAAGCACTGAAGATGCACAAAGCATGTCTGTGAAGAGTTTCAGAACTTCGAGTTGTTCTATATTTTTCTTGGTTATGTGTACCTTTAAAGTAAAATATCATCATCTCATTTTTCTGAAAGGTTTATGAGGAAAACAAGTCTATCAGAAAAATCTACTTACAACATCAGCTGCAGCACAATTTCCCCTATTGCCAACCCCTTTGACAAAATGTCATGACCCATAAGCTATTATCATGGAAGAAGGTCTGAAATAAAAGAAATAGAATCTGCAGCCATAGGAAATCCTATGGCTATAGGCAAAGGAGTTCAGGAAGCTGGAAAGAAACAGCAAAAGGTAGAAAGGTAGAAAAGGTAGAAAGGTAGAAAGGTCAGGTGTGAGGATCAGCAGTGAGGCATATGCCTCCTCTGTGTCAGGTCAGGGATTAGCTCACCACAGTCTCAAAGGCATGCAGATGGCCAACAGGTGCATGAAAAAGAAGAAGCAAACTGTTGGTAAAGATGTAGTGAAAACCAATATCTAGACTATATTAAGAACCTTAAAAACTCAAAATAAGAGAAATACATAAGTTGAAAGTGGGTTTTGAATCACCCAGTTTGCATAATTATTATAAAATTGAAAAAGATGCATAGATGACAGATCAGCACATAAAAATGTATTCAAGATAGCCTGAATTAAAGAAATGCAAATAAAAATCTGAGTTACCTCTCTCTGCCTATTGAGAGTTTAAATTAAAGCAAAATAACAGAAGCAAGTGGAGAATTGAAATCTCAATCAATGATGTTGAAAATATAAGATGGTACAACCACTTTGTAAAGGCAGCTCTGCAGTTTGGTGCAGAAAATACAAATTTAGCATGTGCTAATCTTAGCATGGCATATTTTGATATCAAAATTATGTTTGGTATTTATGCAGGAGAAATAAAACTTTAACTTTATTCAAAAACCTGCCTAGAAATATAACACCTTTATTCTTTTTTAGGTTTATTATAAAAGGTAAAGGTAAAGGCCCTCCCGTTGATCGTCGATTTGCTCGAGCGGGCCCAGTAACGTCTCCATTGGAGACTTTGTTGTTACTGTGTCTGGCATAGCGAATACTCTCAGTAGCTTGCCGGGCTCTCCGAGAGGTTTATTATATATATATATATAATTTTATTAGTTAAACACTGTGAGGTACAGTTATATACTTACAAATTTCAGTGCTTACATTTCAGTCATACAATGGTCAAGTTCCCATCCCCCCACCAGTGCCCATTCTCCACCTAATGATCCCAGTATTCCTCCCACCACCCCAACACATCAAGTCCACCACCCCACACTGCCTCTGTGTCAGGACATTTCCTTTTGTTCTCTTTTTCCTTTGGGGTGTTGTAGTTTGCAATAGATGCATTGAGTGGCCATCGTTTTTGATCTATAGTCTACATTCACCTCCCAACCTGAGCGGGTCCTCCAAACACCCTTTACTTGGTGTTTCCTTCTTGATCTGAGCTGCCCTTTCCCCCAGCATGTGGGGCCTCCAAGCTGTGGAGTAAATCTCCTTGTCCTTATCTCTACTATTCTCGAGGTAACACCTTTATTTTTTAGCACTAAAATCTGGCAACAGTTTAAATCCTGGTGGGGGAAAAGAAAATGCCCCCAGCACCAAGCAAAAGGAAGGATGAACTCATGGTCACAACTTCTAGTTTCTTATTGGACTTTGGCCTGACCAAGGTCAACAGTTGGCCTTCTTTCTTCCCTATAGACCTCTAAATTCTGGGTTACCCCCATGTTTCAAAAAGCATTAGAGCACTGATACTGGGCATATCTGCCTTTAATAGTTCATTTGAAAAAGCAGTTTACTGAACCGCATCCAAAAATGGGGCAATGAAATGAACAGAAACTTTCTCAAAGAAGAAATCCGAATGGCAAAAAAGCACATGAGAAAATGCTCTACATCATTAATCATCAGGGAGATGCAGATCAAAACCACAATGAGATACCATCTCACACCTCAGAGACTGGCCCACATTCAAAAGAACAAAAGCAATCAATGCTGGCGTGGATGTGGCGAGAAAGGGACACTCCTTCACTGTTGGTGGGAATGTCCACTGGTTCAGCCCTTCTGGAAAACAGTATGGACGATTCTCAAAAAATTAGAAATTGAGCTCCCATTTGACCCAGCAATACCACTCCTGGGAATATATCCCAGAGAGGCAAAAATGTATAGTCGAAGTGACATCTGCACTTGTTTGTTCATTGCAGCACTCTTTACAATAGCCAGAAACTGGAAGAAACCTGAATGCCCAAGAACAGATGACTGGTTAAAGAAACTTTGGTACATCTACACAATGGAGTACTATGTAGCTCTTAGAAAAGATGAAGTCATGAAATTTACATACAAGTGGTACAATATGGAAAGTATCATGCTAAGCGAAATGAGTCAGAAAGAGAGGGATAGACATAGAAAGATTGCACTCATCTGGGGGATATAAAGTAACAAAGTATGAGATTAATACCCAAGAATAGCTGAGATCAGCACCAGGAGGATTACTCCATAACTTAGAGGCCAGCCGGGTATCCTAGAGGAAAGGGCAGTTCAGATAGAGAAGGGAGCACCAAATAAAGGATGTTTGGAGGATCCTCCCAGGAGGGGAGATGCATGTCGAAAGTAGACTATGGACTGAATATGTTTGCCACTCAATGCCTCTTTTGCAGACCACAACACCCAAAAGGAGAGAGAGAACACAGGGGATTGCCCTGCCACAGAGACAGGGGGGATGGGGGGATGGGGGTGGGGGGATATTATCCATGGTGGTGGAAAATGGGCACTGGTGGAGGGATGGGTATCTGATCATTGTATAATTGAAATCAAAGCACAAAAAATTGTAAATCTACAACTGTAAAAAAAACATAAAATAAAATAAAGGGGAAAAAAATAAAAAAGAAAAAAAAAGAAAAAGCAGTTTACTGCTGGAATAACACACATAAGTCAACCTCATGCGCTCTTCCCCTCGTGATTCCAGGTCATTGTACTGAAATTAAAATCAATAAATTCCTACTCACTTTCCTTCAACTACTGTATTTCATATGGATCTCCCAGGATCACAGAGTTTTGACATAAGTTCTAGTCACAGAAGAAGAAATGTAGGATAGATGGTCTAAAACCATTCTCAATGAAATTCCAGGAGATGTCTTCAGACAAAAATCTGATCTCTCATTCTTTCTGGCCCTGTGTCAAAAAAAATATGTCCTAAAATTCAGTGTATTCCATAATTTTTGACATGGGTAAGAAATAAATTTCCCTTCAATTCACCAAAAATTTATTTGCCACTCTTAGCAGTCTCCCCAAACCTTCCTTTCTTTTTTCCTTTATTTCCCTGAATCTAATGTCCTCCCCAGCATCATGCTCCATTCCTCTCTTATTTCTTTTCTCCCACCTGGACTGTCCTCTCCCAATTTCCTTCAAAGTCATATGCCACCTATATTGCACTCTGACACCATAACCATTGAATTTCTAATTGGGAATATGGCATCAGTCACTACCACTCAAATGAACAAAGAAATGAACCAGATGTTTTCCTAATATAAATCTTAGTTTCATAACCCAAAAGAAGTTCAAACTTTGCTTTTCTCATGTGAAACATTCTCACCAGTCAATTTAGTTTAATAAGTATGACATCCTGATTGGTCAAATAGCTTTAGTTAGTGAAACCTTATCTTTGTTGATAAATATTGGCATTTTAATTAAGTTGTTATTAAATACAAACCTTATTTTATGGGAATACAATAGTGTATCTTCCCAAAGAAAAATAAAATTCAGGGAGGGTAGAGAAAGAATAAAAGAAAGAAATATGTTTTTCAACAGTTAGAATTTCAGTAAAAGATACCCTTCCTTTCAGACTAAAAAACACGCACACATCATTATGTTCTTGATCTTTCAAGTCCAATTCACTCTAACCCTAAACAGGTAAGGGGAATATAGATCAATAGTAGAGTGTGTGCCTTGTATGTATCAGGTTCTCAATTTGGTCGGTGGTACCATAAAAAAAGTTTTAAATGCTAAATTTTCTGTTAATGCTTAGGTTCAGCCTAACATTCTTAATTTCAAAATACCAAACCCCCACCCTCACCCTACTCTTCTGCTCTTTGCAACAACTTTACATTACCAAATTGTTCCTTTCCACTGAAAGGCAAGCAGTTATTATATTCCAGGCAGACACTATGTTCCTGCATTTCTTTAGATGAATCCTCCACCACCATTGTCTCCTCTGTGTTGACAGCAGCTGTATTCTGCAGGGTAGGAACTTGAATGAAGGGGTTGAATGTCAGCTTCTTTATCTAACTAGGCTGTAGCCCCCTGTACAGGCATCTGTTTTAAAGAAAAAAAAGAGACTTCATAAAATGAGATCTTCCAACAATCTTGAAGAAAAATGACTAAATCTGGGAATTACAGGGTAACCCACTGCGGGCTGCAACAAGTTCTTTATAAACAGGGAAAGAAATTGCAACAGTGCAGCAGCCTGTTCATTGGCTGAGTGTGGAGATCAAGTTAAGTCCCTGAAGTAAAGTTTCACTTTCTACTGCCTGGACACTGTAGCACTGCACTGCCCTCCCATTGTTCATAGATTTGCTCGGCCCAGTAACATCTGCATTGTGAGAATTGTTGCTACTGTGTTTGGCATATTGAATAAGTCACAGAGAGCTTGCCAGGCTCTGCAGTGCAGGAGAGATACTCTCAGTAGCTTGCAGGGCTCTCGGAGAGGGGCAGAGGAATCGAGCTCAGGTCGGTGAGTCAGCCACATGCAAGGCAAGGCATTTTTAGGAAAATGAAACAATCTATTCTCATCTCTCTCCCTCTCTCCCTCTTGCTCACTCCCTCTCTCCTTTTCCTCTCCCTCCCTCCTCTCTCCCTCCTTTTCTCTCTTTCTCCTCTCCCCCTCTCTCCCTCTCTCTCCTCCTTCCTTTTCACTTTCTCTCTTCCTCTCCCTCTTTCCTCCCTCTCTTTCTCTCTCTCTCTCTCACTGTTCCTCTCCCTCTCTTTCTCTCTCTCTTTGTTTTGGTTTATGGGTCATGCTGACAATACTCAGGGGTTACTCCTGGCTCTTCTCTTAAGGATTAGGGTGGTGCTCAGGGGACCATATGGGATGCAAGGGATTGAACCAGAGTCAGCCACCTGCAAGGTAAACTCCCAAACCACTGTACTATCACTCTGGCCCTAAAACACTCTATTTTCCTTTAAACTGAAATTCTGTTTATACACTCCCTGGAAATTAGAATAAAGTTAGATTATTAATATGTTCTGAGCCTTTCCTGATTATATCAAACCCAGAAGAGAGAGGGAAGATAGTACCAAATTAAGCAGGCAGGTTGGTAAGAAAATAAAGCTGATGAACATTTCATAGCTTTAAAATGTAAAGTGCTTTCACTTTAAACAGACCACTTTCACAGTTTACTTTGCCCTGTCAGAGTGGAAAAGAGACAATAATTACTTATTACTTTCCTGTCAGAATCTCACACACACACACACACACACACACACACACACACACACACACACATTTAAAAATGTGTTTAAAAATCCTTTAAAGATCTTGGGCATTATGCAGTGCAGGGGGCAGTGATCCTTGGTGAGCAGTTGGGGAACATACAGGGACCCTATTCCCTGTCCCTTGAGTTTTATGTATAGCTAAAAAGGGAGAAGCCAAAGGGATTCTAAGAGTTGTGAAGTTGCAGCTCAGTGACAAACAGACACTCCTGAGATCAGCCTCCTGGAAAATGCCCAGTACAGGCCTTCTCCAATATTCCATGTCACTAGGTAGCTAAAGCTGAAGGTGACATTATGGGCTTCAGGAGAAACTGCGACACAACCTAAAAGAATGAAAACTACCCAGAGGAAGTCATCCCTTTCTAATGAGAGAGGAAGCCTCAGTTTACCCTGGTCAGTTTCTGTGAGCAGTCCCATTTTGACTGCCCCATCCTACATTTTTGACTTCCTGTAAATTCCTGGCCTTTTTCTGATAAACAGGGAGTTAACAATTGTAAAACATAAAATAATGCCCCAGAGCTTAGGCTCACTTGGAGGATGAGATGATGGACAAAACCAAGGCAAAGGCCAGGTAAGGAACTTCTGGATCCTTGAATTCTCTCTACCATTCTTGTCCAGTGATAATAAATACAGAGAGTCCAATTCTCATTAATAAGGGCCTTCACAAAAAGCCCTTATTTTTAACTTTCCTGCAATCTCTGTAACATGAAAGAGCCACAGTTAACTTAGTCCTATACTAAAATCCTCCCACCATGGGAAATTAATTTCCCTCTATCTTCTACTTTACAATAAACTTTCCTACTTTCTAATTCTGAGTCTGAGCGTTCTATTACTCAATATTTTCACTCTTGAAAATACTGAAGAGGGCTGAAATGATAGTACAGTGGTTAGGGCATTTGCCTTGCATGTGACGATCCTGGGATCAATCCCCGATGTGCCATATTGTCCCCCAAGCACTGCCAGGCATAACTCCTGAGTGCAGAGACAGGAGTAACCCCTGAGCATTGGTTGGTGCGAACCAAAAAAAAAAAAAAGAAAAGAAACAAGAAAATACTGAAGAACCTGGGAACCATGGACCAGTACAGAGACCCGCTGTCACCACTCTTACAGCATTTGGGGACTCTCAGATATAATACACACAGCACAAGAGCAGTAGGTGTGCCAGTCTCAGGGTCTTTTCTTGCCTGTTTCTTTGTTTTCAGACTCCTATTCCTAAAGCCCTATCAGAAAAAAAAAACCAGGCATCCACATACCTTTCAGAAGTTGTCAAGTTCTACTGGGCAATTCTTAAGGCAGATGAAAGGTCTAGCTGGCTTCTCTCTCTCTTTTTTTTTTTAAGCTGGCTTCTCTTAACTGTGATCCCCACTTTCTCCTACAAAGTGGAACATCACAGTTAAGGAAGCCTGCTTCTTTTCTAGCAGCCTGAAAGGCCACCTTTCCACTGTTCCTCTTTTGTCTCAGAGGCTTAACACCAGCATAAGAAACCTATGCTGAAGTTGCCCCACCTATGAATAGCTTCACCCTGTGTTTTTTTTTTTTTTTAGTGAAACACTGTGAGGTACAGTTGTAGACTTACAAATTTTTGTGCTTGGGTTTCGATTTTTCAATGATCAAATACCCATCCCTCCACCAGTGCCCATTTTCCACCACCACGGATCCCAGTATCCCTCCCACCTCTCATCTCCCCCATCCCACCCTGCCTCTGTGGCAGGGCATTCCCTTTTCTTCTCTCTCTCCTTTTGGGTATTGTGGTTCGCAAAAGAGGCACTGAGTGGCAATCATGTTCGGTCTATAGTCTAATTTCAGCATGCTTCTCCCATCCTGGGAGGATCCTCCCAACACCCTTTTTTTTTGTGCTCCCTTCTCTATCTGAGCTGCCTTTTCCCCTAGCATGCCTGTCTGGCCTCTAAGCCATGGAGCAAAATTCGTGGTACTAATCTTGGGCCTCACCCTGTTTTACTAGCTTGCATCCAGCCCGTAGGACTGGGCCCTGGGATAGCTTTTAAAAGATGCCCTTTCAGAGCTGGAGTGGTAGCACAACGGGTAGGGCTATTTTCCTTGCACACAGCCGACCCAGGTTTGATTCCCAGCATCCCATATGGTCCCCTGAGCACCACCAGGGGTAATTCCTGGGTGCAGAGTCAGGAGTAACCCCTGTGCACCCCGCCAGGGGTAATTCCTGAGTGCAGAGCCAAGAGTAAGCCCTGTGCATTGCTGGGTGTGACCCAAAAAGAAAAAGATGCCCTTTCTTCTCCTGCACTCCTCCTCTGCAGTCTCCAATGACTCTTTCAGATTAAACTTGGGTAAATTTTGTTTCCATGGGAGATAGGGGAAAGGCAGGTTCTCCTGGGCCTTGTCACAGCTCAGCTTGCATTGGCCTTACTGACTCCTTGAGACATGAGCAGGGCAGCCAGTACCCAGCAGCAGTCAACTGCCATATCAGACGGGTTGGGTCATCATGAGAACTGCTGATTCTGGGCTAGTGAGTGAGTGATCCAATCTCCAAGTCACTCTCAGATCTAGGTCATTCTTCTTAAGCCAACTGAATCTCCTTCTCTCTCTTGAGGAAATTCACAGATCTTTTCAGAGCATTAAGCAGAAGTCTACATACCATCAACTCTACTTAGGACTAATGCCTGTTTATATCAAATTGGCTCCTGAGCTGATGTTTTCAGCACCCAGAGCTCTTTTACCCACGCAGAACAGGTTTCTGTTCAGACCCCTGCCACAAATAATCTGCACACTCAAATGAAAAGTTTAGCAGGTACCTGGGCTTCTGCAGGAGTGTGTGAAGCTGAATCCTGGGATTCTGCAGGAGAGCACAGATAGGCTTTTCTGCAATGGCCCATGGATGATGGACTCTGTTGTCATTATCTAGTTAAAAGGTTGGATGTGTTATCATCATTATTTTTTTGTTTTTTTAAAAAAACTTTATTTTATAAGGTGGTTCACAATATTTGATTACATTTAATATCCATATACCAATCCCACCACCATTACATCTTCCCACCACCATATTTTGGATGTTTCCCTACCTAACCCCAATCTCTGTCCCAAAGAAAAATCAAGATAATATATTTTGTATTGTTTGTTATGAAAAACCGCTGAAAATGCTACAAAAACTATCCATAGAGGAAGGAGTGTGAAGATTGTTCTATTTGGGCACGGGCCATTAAAACCGTCTATAATATATATATATATGTATATATATTATCGCTCTCCTTCTATGATTGGTTCCTACTATTTGAAACCAGTCAAGTATGATGTGTTACTCTTGGAGTATGGGTAGAATGTGTTTGTGAAGTGTCAGCAGCTGTGAATGCAGCTGCAAGGTCCACGAATAGGTTCACCCCTGCATGAGGCTTGGCCCAAGCATGTGGAGAGTGGCCTTGAGTGCCTTGTCGGTTGGGTTCTGGAGGTTTTCGGCTGCTGGGAATGGGTCCCTTGGGGCAGGGAGGGCTCTCACCTGACCCCCTCTGGGGTACCCCGAGTAAAACAGCCTGGTGCAGGTTCAGTGGCATGGCTATGGTGAGTGTCATTTTGGTCCCTTCCAGGAGAGAAGGACATGCGATCTGGATGGTGGCCAGTGATAAGATTATCTGGCACCATCCAGAGGTGGCTTATGGGTGTGATTGATGGGTCGCCAGAGGCATGGGGGAAACAAGCAGGGGATCTCTGCTCCTGGTTCCGTTGAACTCAGAGTTCTCAGTAACAGAGTTCCGCATACTTGGGGTTTTTGGACTTCACTGGTGCTTGAGGCTTGGCCCAAGCATGTGGGAAGTGGTCTTGAGTGTGTCAGCGGTTGGGTTCTGGAGGTTTTTGACTGTCGGTGCTGGGTCCCTTGGGGTGTGGACAGCTCTCACCCAACACCCTCTGGGGAGCACTGAGTGAAACAGCCTGGCAAAGCATC